CAGCTCGGGACTCCCCAGATGATCCTGGGCTCAGTGCTGCATTTCCCTAGTGTTTCAAAGTGGAAGCAAAGGGGGGAGGAGGGTAAGCGACTAGTCGACTCGACTAGTCCTTAACATCTTTATCTGTTACATCAGTTGTACGCCAGTATTATACCACTGTCAATGGGAACACACTGGTATAACAGAGTGAAGAATTAAGCCCAGAAGTCAGATTTTAACTGAATCCTGAAATGAATGGGAACCTAGGGGAGTTTTTGAGAGTTTGAAGATGGGCATCACATGGCCAGTACTTCTTAGAACTTATGAGAAATGGGCAGCAGCATTTTACACACACAGAAAACTAGGGAGGCAGAATTTGAGGAGACAATAGAGAGGCAGAAGCCAAGGCAAGGCAGCATGGAGGGATATATGAAGATTTTAGCATAAGTGGGGAAAAGGCAGTGACATTCCCAGAACTAGCTGTGTAGAATCATAGGGTTAGGAGGACAGCAGGGGTCCTCTCTCAGGCAGAGTAGAAGGAGAAACACAAGATGTGTGAAGAAAAGGAGCCCCAGGACGCAAACTACAATGATACAATCTGACTATAATAAATGACTAGTTTAAACAGCTTAGTATCAAGTATTATTGTGGGTATACTGGATGCATCCATTATGTATTGACAAAGATTTGCTGATTCACCTGTGATGGCTTTGGAAATGACAGCTGCTGAGTTTGCATGAAGCTTTCTTCTGTCTATTTTAAGTTAATAGGTACATTTTTTAACAAGCAGTCATTTCTTAAATGTGGCATATGATTTTCAGAATATTACTTCACTTTCAACTGCTTGTCACTTGCTCTTGATCATCAGCTGTGGACACTTTTCCAGCGAAGTGCAGTGATGTGCTACTGAAACTTCTATGCAGCATCAAAAACAAACCTTTACCAGCTACAGATAGGCTACAGTCTAAGAAAATTTCCCCTTAGGCCACACACTGGTAAAAATGTGACTGAATGACAGCTTTAAAATTCAAGCAAATCTTACATGACAAATCCCCTAATCATCATTTTCCATCAATAAAATGTTAGCATGCTACATTCTCAGTATCGCACAGAGTAGAAAGACAGCAAAAAGCACTATTGGCGTTATTTACGAGAAAAGCTTGAATTAGAACCAGGGTAGCAAAAACCTTTCAGGGTCAGATTCTAGAACTTCAAAAAAGGTTGGATGGTTTATATGGATACCAAGAATATCCGGAGTTCTCATCATTTATAACAGAAAGGCTTAGGAAGGCACTTTAAACTGTATGGCTCAGGGTCTAAGCCAATCTCTAACTATTAGAGCAATAGGTGCTGACTTATTTTTCTGTGGTCCATCCCTGCTCCACCCCACCATCTCACCCCCCTTCTGCCCTGTGTCCTGAGACCCCACCCTTGTTCCACCTCTTCCTGCCCCTGCTCTATCCCTCTCCAGGCCATGTCTCACTCTGTCTCTTCCCGCCCTTCCCAAGGCTCCCACATTCCAGCCACCTGCTGCTCTCTGCCCTTGCCCAACTACCGGCCCTCCCCCCCCCCCTTGCAAGCCGTCAAGCAGCTGATCAGCAGCCCTGCCAAACAGCTTCGGCTGGTGGGTGCTCACTGCTAAGCATTTTTCCCCTAGGTGCTCCAGAGCACCTACTGAAATGGCATCTATGATTAGAAGTCACAATGAGACAAAGCACAGTGTAAATCATCCCTGTCTAGAGCAGGGTTCTTGCTCCTTCCTCTGAAACATCTGGTACTGGCCGCTGTAACCCTAACCAAAGTCCAGGAATTTGCATCAAAGTGCAATGCATTTCACCCAGGGATAGGGGAGCTAGCTTAGTTGAAATTCAGTGTCTCTGTACTCAGCTCAAACTAAGGCTTTGTTGAGGTTTTGTAAAGCTTAGCTATTTTGAGTCCCCCATCCCATTCTTTCAAGTCATTGCATCTCCTGGTTTTGCTGAGTCCTGAAGTACTAAAATACCATAAGAATAGACTCTCAGAGCTTTTCCAACCTTGCTGGGGCCAGAAAGTAACAAAGACATTAGGACACAATATGTTCTGATCAATTTTCCGATCTGGTTTCTAAACGGAAGTAGTTCACTTTGGATGATCATCCTGAATAGAGATATGTAAAGGCCAAATCCCAGATCTAAATACCCCCCAGTCTTTGGGAGGAAGGCTCCAGTATTAATATGGATGTAAATTTAGTGACTTGAGCCCATCTCTGATCAAATTTTTAGAATCTCATCAAAATTGAACCACTGAGTTTTCTGAGGCTCACCCATCATTCACCCGATTTTAAAAACTTTACCCTGAAAATCAAATTTTTGTCTTTGGGCGCCCACCTATAGCCCCCATTGACTTCAGCGTATTTAGGAACAGGATTCCCAGCCAAGCAAATGCTTAGGAAAATATAACAGAGCAAAAACTGTGGCAATAACTTTAATTCTGTTTGGGTCCTTTAGTTTTATAATAAAAGCTCAAGTCTAGCTGTGGTATTTTTCCTCAGCTATGAATCATGGGGCCTATTTTCAATATCCCATGTGTTACTATCCAGGAAGACAGGGCAGTGTTTCAACTTCTGCTGGCTGGCAGGATGGGAGCAATATAGCAACTGTAGTTAAAAAAAAAAAAAAAGAATGACAGCATGCTGAATCTGAAACAGCGCCCGACGTGTTTTTTCCATGGGCCCTGCCATTGCCTCAAATATCAAGAGGCTGCCCTATGCTTGAAAATAATGATAGTGATTCAACCCAGCCAAGTGACCCAGATGTATGCCACTGCATGTTCAGACAGCACACCGATAAGGGCAGATACATAAAACAAATTAGACAGAGTGTAATAAAAGTGGTCCCTGAAATTTCTATAAATAGAAAAGGCCCAGGATTTAAATATTTCTGAGCTCTTGGATGAAACCAGCTTCATCATAAGGATGTCATAAAGCTTAAAAGAAATTTGCTCCTAAATTTAGAAAAAATGGGGCTAGACAAAACCCCGGGCAAGAAAGAGATGATGCCGGTCAGAAGGGGAAATGTGTTGCAGATCTAGCTGGGGTATTGCCAATAAGTGATGAAAAGTCACAGTGTTCTATTCATCTCATCTCTAAAAGTCTCCTTTAAGTGATCTGGCAGCATCTGGCAGGGGATAGGGGAGAAGCTTCTTTTCTGCAAATGTCTAAGAAATGTTTCCCTTTCTCCTAGGATGAGGATTTGGCCATAGCGAATACTGATCTGCAGAACGGATTAGCATGGGACAGGTTTTGGATGTAATGCCTTCTGTGAACTCATCAGTCATGAACTTGGATGTTCCCTCCACTGGCTCCCCAAGCTGTTTTCATGACCAATTCAGTATTTAGGCTCAAATCATCAAGTTATAAACAGGCCAGGCATAGGCCATGTGTGGGGGGGCATGAGGGGGCACGTGCACCAAACACCATGGACAGGAGGAGCAAGAGGCCAGCCAGCACTCAGCAGAGGAACTAGCAGTTGGGGGTGTCTGGTGCCCGCAGCAGGGTTCCACCCTCCCTCCTCGCCCCTGCTTGGGGGAGGGGCGGGACCACCCTGCACTCTCCTATGGGAGGCAGAGCGACGCGGCCAAGGGAACAAAGCGAGCATTGCTCTGCTTGCCCTGCTGCTGCCAGTGAAAGTGGGGATAGGATTGATCCCAACTAGTTCCACGGGCTGCATTGCTCCAGAGAGGGAGAAAAGGTGGGGCAGAGCAGGGGCAGGAGAGGCAGGGCCTTTAACAGAGGGGGGTTGTTTTGGCCTTTCTCTGGGCTGGGAGGGGAGGGGGGGTCACATGGCTGGTGCGCCCTCAAAGCTCCTCTTCGCCATTTGACCCTGGGACCAGGGATCCAACTACTTCAGCAACCACATCTCCATTCATGTCCTATCAGAACAAATGCTCTCTCTGGGCAGATGAACCAAGTGAGGATCAGAGAGAACACATTCTTGGTTATGAGGGACCCAACTGTGGACCAGATTTCCAGAGGAGACTGAATTAATCCAGAATCTGATCAATGTCAGGACACGCCGACGAAGTTCTTTGTCAAATCATTTCCACCAAAGACCACATAATGGTGATTTAAAAATACATAAATTAAAGTCTCTCTCAAATTGGCAAGAGTTCTTCAGGTAAGGAAAAAGAAAACTCCTTGAAATCCTCTAGGAACCTCAGCATGTGGAGTTAATTCAGCTGTGAAGCACTTGAATGATGGCTGCTATAGAATATGCTATAGCAGAGAGGTTTCCTTACTAGAAACTCAAGAGGTTTTATTATTTGCAAACATCGGGACACAAAGAAAAAGCATCTTCTTTGAATGACCAATTTACTTTTTCCCTTTACTGTTGCACTTTTCTCATTTATAGATCAGTTTGCTTTTTCCAGATGGATTCAAAGTCACCACTGTGATTTCAGTTTTTTCCTTGTTTCTTGGAAAGCATCATGCAGTAGCATGTCAAGAAAAACAAACAGAAAAGTTTGCTTAGGATCTATTTAAAGCAAATCATCAGTGGTAGTTCCAATAACAAACCAGGGGCCAGCATCACTACTCATGACAAGACTGGGGCTACTGTGCATAAAAAGGGGTAGCACCATTGCAGAATTACAGAGAACATGTTGCCAGCTCGTCTGATGAAGTGGATTTTACCCACAAAAGCTCATGATCCTATATATTTGTTAGTCCCTAAGGTGCCACAGGACTACTCATTGTTTTTAAAGTTACAGTCTAACCCTCTGAGACTTTATGTTGCCTAATGTGGTTCCTTGTTAATATTCAACTTTACATTTACGATTTTTGCTCACAAACTAAAATAAAGGTAGAAATCTTGGCATAAACTAAAAACTTTAAAGCACAGGTTCCCAAACTGGGGGAGTGCGCCCCCATGAGGGGGCGTGAAGAAATTCCAGGGGGGGGTGAGGCGATCCAGCCCCCCATTAATCCAAGCCCCTCTCCCCCAAGAAAGAGCCCAGTCCGTCCGGTAAAAAAATTCAGAAAATACCATGTGAAATGTCCGGTGTTTTCTGTTTTTCCCAGCTAGGGTGTCCACCGGAACACGTGTAGCTCAGGCTGGCTGGAGAAGAGGGAGGATGGAGCATCCCAGGCAGACTTCAAAATGGCTATCTTAAAAGGGCAATGCCTGCTCTGCTCTTAAAAGGCAACCTTTTATTTTTTTTTTCCCCCCCGTCAACAACTTTTCCCCTAGAGTACCAGCACCTTTTTTTTACATTGGTCCCGTGAATTTAAGGGGCTGCAACTGTTTTTCGGCCCCGGTCAGTTCTTTTTTTTTTGGGGGGGGGGAGAAACTCAACAAGTTTTGCTGCTATTTTGGGGGAGGGGGCATGAGGGTTTCTCAAAAATCAAAAAGGGGGCATGTTGCCAGAAAGTTTGGGAACCACTGCTTTAAAGAGATGGTGTCAATCTGATTAGGCCCAAAATTTAGGCTTTATCTAAAAAGCTAGCAAAACTGAGCATAAACGAATTAAAATACAAGACAAACTTCCACTCGTGACCTTTTTTAAACATTCCCCTGAAGAATTGCAAGCCCCCAAAGCCACAGCATTGTGCTAGCACGCGATATCCCGGAAAGTTACACTGCCCACCTATGAAAAGTAAAACTGACTTATGAACAGAGCAGACTAGTTTTACTTTCTTAGCTGAATGAAGCTCACTGAGCAAATAAAGAACATAAATGGTGAATAGGAGGGATGGGTTGGCGAGTGAGGTGGTCAGATTTTTTTATTGGCATAACTGGAAATAGGTTATTTGGATCCAGCAACCATTTTCCTTAAAACACCAATGTTTGGGAAAACTTTGAAGAACAGGAGCAAGATTTTGAAGTGGCAGTAGGGCTATTTGGGAGCTAGCAGAAGCATATGGGCACTGCCTGTTGAGCAGGGAGGCAGCTGCTTTCTGCACAAACTAGAGCCTCTTCCCTGCATACACATTGGCAGCTGTCTACACTGGCCGCTTGAATTTGCACAAGAACACTGACAATCTAATGTAAAATGCTTTTGCGCAAGAGGGCCAGTGTAGACAACTGAGAATCGTTTTGTGCAAAAAAGCCCCGATTGCGAAAATGGCGATCGGGGCTTTCTTGCGCAAAACCGCATCTAGATTGGCACGGACGCTTTTCCGCAAAAAGTGCTTTTGCGCAAAAGCATCCGTGCCAATCTAGACGCTCTTTTCCGCAAATGTTTTTTACAGAAAAACTTCTCCATTAAAAGCATTTGCGGAAAATCATGTCAGACTAGACGTAGCCATTCAGTCCTAGAAAGCAGGATAAAATAATACTTCCCTACCTCGCAGAGGTGTTGTGAAGCTAATTTCATTAGGGTTTGCTAAACACTTTAACATTTTCTATATAGAGTGCAACGTATTATTCAACCATTCCAGTTGAAAGCATAACAAAAGGCTAGGCACAGCACCGCCACTAAAGCTCCCTTTTGTTTATATAGGACATTCTACTGAAATTGTACCCTGGGGCTCTGGTTAGGACAGGATATTTACTATTGTCTCCTCTAATTGAAATGAAATGTTATTGACCATGCCTTTAAAAGCAATATCATGGATATAGCTATTCCAGTGTGAGTCTCACTTTGCTCCCGCTAACAAGCAGCCCCACCCCTGTTTGTGGTTGTTTTTTTGGATTGGTTTCCCCTCACCCCACAGCCCCCATGCTTGTAAAGGAGAAAGTCACACCTTGTAGACTTCTTAACAATGAACCTCATGTAGCAGCTATCCAAGCCATTCAGGAACAGAGACTTTCATAGCATGGAAATTTTTCCATTGCCTGCACCTTCTCATCCTTAAGATAAATTGCTTTTACTTACAGGGCTAAAGGCTCTGTTATTTTCAAAAGACTTCTCAGCTTTGAAGTGCCCGTGGAAATTGGCTCTGCACCTGGCCAGCTGATCCAACCTATAAAGGCCTCCCCATTTTCTTTTCTGCATCAACAAGTGGCGGTTTGGTGTGCAGCCGAGCTGATGCAAATAAGCTACAATTTGAATAATCAGAATTCATTTAATTAATTGTCACATAGGCCTGCCAATGGGGAAAGGGCGGAGGCAGGGAGGCAGTTCCCCTGGGGCCCAGTGTTTCAAAAGGGATCGGGCCACCTGTTCACCATCTTCACTGCCGCTATCGCTCCTGGCAGCTTTGAAGGCTGAACGGGGGAAGCATGGTGCACCCCGGGCAGCTCTGAACATGGCTGAGGGAGAGTTGGCAGTGAAGGCTGGCTGCTTCAGGCCCGCCCCTTCTGCCTGAGACCCCGCCCTTTCCAGGAGCATGGAGCCAGCCCTCCCCTCATCTTGTCCAGGGGCTCGGCAAGTCTGTCGGCCCCCCTGTTACCATGTATCCAGCACAGTGAATAGAATTTCAAAATGGGGTTCAGGATAGCCATAGAGCATCTGCGGAGTGGGGAAAATGTGCTAACAACCTATTCCAAAAGCCCAGCTTGGCAAAGGTGACCTTCCAAATTTCAGTCCCCTTCACACACTTTGGGGTGATAATCTAGCCCTGTTATATGTGCATACACATTTCTAAGACACTTGCCTCTTCAGACAATGGACAGAAGTTGACTATTATTTATTATTTGTGCCCAAAGCCTCCAAGCTCCATGGTGCTTCATACTCTTCACACATTGTAAGAGCCAGTCCCTGCCCCTCAAAAGCTTTCAATTTAAATAGACAGCACAGTAAAGTGAGAAGGGGAACCAAAAGCACAAAGAGACAGAGAGACTTAGCACATAGCAGGTCAGTGACCAAAGCCATTAAAGAACCCAAGTCTATCAACTTCCCTGTCCAGTGATTTACCCACTCAACCTTGCAATCTCCATTATGGGTGCAAACAAGTTCTGGGGTAGTCAACTGTCTCCTCATTTCTACAACATTATCTTTGCTTTGCTTCATTTGAGATGTATGACAGCCAGCTGACTAAGCCTGCCAGCAAAGCGAGCATGCTTGAGCTATCCGGGAAAGTCCTACCCCACAGGTCAGTTTTCACCGACTGATTTAGTAAAGGGAGTCAAGTAGTGTCCTGATCCATGTGTGTAGTTCACACTGAGGACAAGAAATGCACAGGCAGAATGAGGGCATGATACGGCAGCAGTAAGGAACAGAAATTCAATTCATACTCGTCCAGCTTCTCTTAATCAACAGGGGACACACAAGGTTGGTCACACCAAGAAGGAATTTAGATATCAGACCTCACTCTTTCTCCAAAATAAGCATGCCCCAGGTATATAGCTAGTACTCTAGTACCGCCCACCTCTCACTAAACAGCCCATAGGGTGCTAGTCACGGAACTAGCCCTTCACCTCTGGAGACTTGGCTACAGATCCTGGTGTCAATGTACCGTCTCATGGATGCTCCTATTCATGCACACTTCTAAAGCACTTAGTCCCTTCTCAAGTGTTGCTGGCGTGTGGCATAGCAGGGGTGTTAAAGGTAGGGAATGGCATGCTTCATAGACGCTTTTGCCATGATTGCCCCCATTTAACTTGACCCGAACGTTTGCTGTTTCTCCTTCACTTCCATGAGCCAGACCCATAAGAATGAATCAGAGACTTCTTTCCGGAGGGAAAAACCAGCCCTGGATTGCAGCCTCCTCAGTGAGCAGATTCAGTGAGGAGACTCCTTGAGGTCAGGGACAGGAGCTCAGAGCTAGGGGAAGGCATGGAATGCCTAATGTGGAAATGTTTGCATTTGGAGCTATATGAAGTTACATTTCGCTTGTAACAGCTGTGGCAGCTGTTTATTGTAACACAGACTCCTGGAACCATTAGCTCACATCTTGACAGTGACCAGATTCAGCGTGGAGCGACTGTAAGTCTGCCGTAATATTTATGTGTTACCCAAGGTCCCAACAATACCTTTCCTAATAAGTCAGACATATAAATAATCATTTCTAAGCTGCAAAACACACAGCCTTGGCCCATTGTACTGCCAGGAGTTTATTTTAATCTTGTTGTACAGTCCCTTCCCTCCTCCCTCCCCCACGTCACAAATCGTAAATGCTTGGCTGGATACTTAAGTTGTGTGGATAATTGCTCAACAAGGCATTTGAACCTTCAGAACTAAATTCTGCAGTTTGCTTAATCTGTGTCACAACCACTGAAGACCACGAGGCTATACTGGAGTAGTAGGAAGCAAATGTGCCCTTTGACTAGGGTGACCAGATGCCCCTATTTTATGGGAACCACTGCAATATTAAGGGCTGTATTTTATATTGGTGCCTATTACCCTCCCCCACATACACACACCTCACCTATCCTGATTTTTCACACTTCTTATATATGGGCACTCTACCTTTGTCTTATATTGAGATGCAGCAGAAGGACCTGTGCTGTGTGCAGGTACATTTGATTGAGAATTGTTTATCAGTAGAGGAGAGCATTCTGAGGAAAACAAGAACCTGTTTTCCACATACACATCATTACGCTACTGACTGTGTTCAATTCCTTGGAAAGAACCTCTCCTTATTTAGAGTTCTAGCATTACACAAAGGAAATATAACCTTGCAGCCGAACTGCAAACGCATGTATGTTTTGTTCTGGAGCACATTTGAACTGTAGTTCTGAGGGAAGAACAGACTGTACTGCCACTGAAGGTTTCCCAGCAACACACCAGAGATTAGCCCTGACTTGCAAAGTTAAAAAAAAAATCACGCTCATTAGTTATGTTTTCTGAGGACCCAGAGAACCATATCTTTGTTGGAACGGGAGCTGGATGTTGGAACAACATCAACACTATGAAACACAAGATACACTTCACTAGTTCACACAATTTATGACCTTGGATAACTGATAAGCCAGTGTAATATGATTTTTGAGCCCTGTGTTTTGCAAGCTTCAGGTACCAGGTGTTATTGAAGGTCAGCATTCAGAAAATGGCTCTCCCACAGCCAAGAGAAGGTTACAGAGGATGGTTTTTATGCAACATAAGCTTGTAGATGATTAACTATTTTCTTTCAGTTAACCAGTAAGTTAATAGTTATTCAAAGCACTCCATTGTAATGGGAGTGGAGATGGGAAGATGTACTATATTAACCATTAATCTTGGACTGGGTAATAAAAATTTTAATGGAATACGGCACATA